GGGGGGGGGGGGGGGGGGGAGGGTGTGTTCAATGATTCATTTTGTAAAATTATTTAGAACAAAACAAGACTGTACTTCAAGGCTGATTAAAAATAAAGAGCATTATATTGGGGGGTGCCCTCTTGAGCAGGCATGAAAGTGAAATCGGAGCTGTTTCCTCACTCTTTCTAATCATTGATGAGCACAGCATTGCAGACATGCACTGTCAAATAAATGGAAACAAAAGTACCGATTTCGTTAGGGAAAGAAGTATGACCTCTTTTTCAGCTCCTGGTTATAAAATGAAGCCCCTTTTCATGGATGGAATTCCTAATTTAGACACTTATTGTCACATTGGCTCTCAACGCCTACACTCTATCCTAAAGAACACTGCGCAGACCTGCATTGCCTGCAAAGTGCTAGAGCAAAAAAAAGAGGAAATTATTTCCAGAATTTCCTACAACTTTCCCCGTTTTTAACCTTTAAATGCTCATTGGCTTTCTTTTCTCAAGAAGAAAATGCATTATTCATTGAGCTGTATGCTGGAAACAGAGAACACTGTTTGGATAGTCCTAGCTGTTCTGATGTTATTTTAAACTACTGCTATATAGAGATTTAGAGTTGGGGTTGTTTTTGCCTATATCAAGAAATTGACATTGAATTATAATCTGGAAAATGCAGATCTATCTTCAGGGACTTCGGTCACTGGATTTGTTGTGCATGCGTTGGTGTGTGTTATGCAATGGGAAGGAAGAGGGTTTTATCCTTTGGTTCAGACAGGACCGAGGCAAAGACATAATAACTCTTTAACTATCTGTATGTCTGTATGTCTGTCTCTGTTTACAGAACAGTGGAAGAGACTGCAGCCTAAAGACTTTTAATGTTAACTTGGCATCACTTTTATCAGCTCAAAGGCTAAACAAAAAAAGCAGTGTCATTTATTCTAAGAAATAACTTCTTAAAGGTTAAAGCTGAAAAATATTCAAGTTATTTTTGGATAACAACTTACAGAGGTAAATATCACCAAGGACTACTTTATTATGCAAGGCCAGCATTAAAAAAAAAGAAAGAAAAAGAAAAAAAGTGGAGCTTTGGAGCTGTTGTTGGAAAGGGAGCAATTCGATAATTGAAATCTGCTAGGAAAGAAACTGCTAGTGTCTTTCAAAATCTACCATGTGTAAATCTCAAATAATAGTAGATAACTCTAGATAAAATAGCCCCAGTTTTTTAAAAAAAATATTAAAAGGCTGAAACCAGCTCAATTACTGCAGTTCTGGGATTTCTCACTGACATCGCCTTTGGGTACAGACACTAATACAGTGATCCACTTTACGTATCCCAAGAGGGCATGTCACATTGAAAAGACTGCCTTAAATCCTAGTTCTCAATGGTAATCTTGAACAACAAGTCTTCCCGATATATGTACTCATGTATCCCCTTTCTCAGATGATAATTTTAAAATTCTATGAATCCACATGAATGCCCATGTTTTTGCACAGGAATTTCCCATCAGTTCACATGGTGGCCCCTGCAAAGGCAAGTAGGGGCGTTTGGGAGATGATGTTCCATCTGCAACAAATGATCATTTGTGCTTTTAAAATTGTGGCTGTAATTTATCCTAAGTACTTTTCACATTTAAGAGAAAAGAAGTAACGTGATGACAGCTGTCGCTAGATTATCAGATTAGATTTTGTGTGATGATGATGCGATGCAGTCAGAAGACAGAGGGAGAGAAAAGGTTGTATATAGTGATTAAAAATATTTCAAAAATTATCATTTAGGTTATGATATTTACAGAACCCATGTTTTTCCTCTTTATTTGATAGAATGATAATGGGTGTGGAGGAAATCCTGGTAGATAAATTAATGCATTCCTATTAATAATCTGTTAACTATTATTTTTAAATTGAATGTAGAGAATTTGACCATTGTGAATGACCACGTGAGGGCGCTGTTCACACAGCAACAGATAATTTCCTGGCGTTATAAAATAAAAATTACCTGTCCTTCTTTTAAATTTTTTTTTTCCCCCTGAGATCTTGAAAACAACTGGCTGTAATATTGGAAGGAGTTTATTTTTTTCAATTCGCGTAGACTCCTACTTGCATTTTACTTTCATTGCCATTTTTACAGGCCAAATGACATAGGATGAAGGCTGTTCGTAACCTGCTGATTTATATATTTTCCACCTATCTCCTGATTATGTTTGGATTTAATGCTGCCCAAGACTTCTGGTGTTCAACTTTGGTGAAGGGAGTCATTTATGGATCGTATTCTGTAAGTGAAATGTTTCCCAAAAACTTTACAAACTGCACTTGGACGCTGGAAAATCCAGATCCAACCAAATATAGCATTTACCTGAAATTTTCCAAAAAGGACCTTAGCTGCTCTAACTTTTCCCTCCTGGCTTATCAGTTCGATCATTTTTCCCATGAAAAAATAAAGGATCTTTTGAGAAAGAATCATTCTATAATGCAACTCTGCAATTCCAAGAATGCTTTTGTTTTTCTACAATATGATAAAAATTTTATTCAAATACGTCGGGTATTTCCAACCGATTTCCCAGGATTACAGAAAAAAGGGGAAGAAGATCAGAAATCTTTTTTTGAGTTTTTGGTGTTGAACAAGGTGAGCCCAAGTCAGTTTGGTTGTCATGTATTATGCACTTGGTTGGAGAGCTGCTTAAAATCAGAAAATGGGAGAACAGAATCATGTGGGATTATGTATACAAAATGCACCTGCCCTCAGCATTTGGGAGAGTGGGGGATCGACGACCAGTCGCTGGTCATGTTAAATAACGTGGTGTTACCCCTGAATGAGCAGACCGAGGGCTGCCTGACCCAGGAGCTGCAAACCACTCAAGTCTGCAATCTTACCAGGGAGGCCAAGCGACCACCCAAAGAAGGTAAGTGCTCAAAGGAGAGGGGAAGACAGTGAGAGGGGAGGGGAGACTTTGGGGGATTGTAGTTACTACGTACTGTTTCATCACACACACACACCTAATTATTACTCCTTTGCTCTGTCATTTTTGGATTTATTTGATTTTGTGATCTTCACTGATAAAGGTCAGTTTTAGGTTTTAAGCTAGTTTTAGGTTTTAAGATTTTAGAGACGGGGTGGTGAGGACTGGATAGCGCAGCAACATGCCCCGGAAGTGTGGGTGCAATGTTCAGGAGAAAAGCTTTGCAGAAACATGGAGTCAGCTTGTGTTGGAGGCCGGTGAGGGGAAAGAGGGGCGCCTTTATCCAGGCTGCATCCCCTCGGGGACACACACACACACACACACACACACGCACCACCTGTGAAATGGATTTGTAGACTTCTCCCTCTTGCTTCAGCCCAGCAAAAGGTCCCCTTCACTTTCTGTCTCCTTTCCCTTCTGCGTCCTACCCTTTCACACCCCACCTTTTTCCAGGTTTGAACTTGGGGCAACTTGACAAAAACGTGACACAAACTCAGTAGCAAGCCTATTTGGACCAAATGACTTTCTAACACATGAAGACAGGGATGCCCCCCTTTCCCCAAGTCCAGGATTTTGTTTGTGGTGCTTTGCACAAAATCCCGCATGCGCTCTTTCCTGGGTCAAGAGAAACCTACTGCAAGCGCAAACTTTCAGTGTCTTCTGCCTGTGAAGCCACCTGCGGGTGGGGGATGGGGGGGGCGGAATTAAAACGCACACTGATCCTTTAAGACCTGATCTGCCTCTTGAAAGTGATTTTTTGCTCTTATCTTCTTGGTCTCTTGTTGTTATACACGAAGAGAGAGGGAACGTCTCAGAGATGAGCTTGATGGAAACAAAACAAAACAAAACAAAAACAGTGCAACGGAAATGCGGAGGAAAAAAGGAAAAAAAAAAAAAAAAAAACTAAAGGAGTGATTTGTAGCTTTCACTCAGTTCCCAGTGGGGAAGCTACCAGAAGATTTGAGATTGTGGATTAAGTTTAATAATGCAAGAGAAAATGTCATATTTTGAGAAAATGACTCCGGTTTGGAAGGTTAATGGATAGGTTCCATTCGTTTAAGGAACTGCTGATACATATTCTTTCTTGCTCCCCAACCCTGCAACCAGAGAGTGTGTTGATTTCTTATGCAGGAAATGTTTTCTGATCTCCACAAAGATCCCTGTCTGTGGAAAGGGACAGCCAAGCTCCAGTCCCTTTTTCCTCCCCCTCCCCTAACAGAAGTTGTCTTTGTGGCCAATGTAAAATTGACACGTTGTTGGAAAATTTTCTTTAAGGGTAGCCAAGGCTTTGTAAAGGGGGGGGGGGGGGGAGGGAAGACAGAAGAGCCTGGTTGGCTTAATGCTACTTCTCTGGTGGCTGCAATTTGGGGGATGGGAATTGTGGAAGAGCAATAGTACAAGGGGAAAGAACCTGTTATAAAATAAATGCAGACTAATGGCAATAAGAGAGGGGTGAAAACCTTTAAGATTTCTACAGGTCTGTGTTTCACTAACACACGTAACTGAAGAAAACAAAGTAGTTTTAAATTACAGGAGTTCTTTTCTCTAGTAAAAATCCCAGAGAAGCACTTGCAACTGCAGGGATGGTATTTAACACCATTTAAAACTAATTAGTGTCCCCTAGAATAAGAAGCTACAGTACACACAGAAAATGTGGTGTTGCAAGGCGGCTAATAAAACAATTAACATCAGAAAGTTTTTGTTTGTTTTATTGTTGTTTTAATCAAAATTAGAATATCCGTTTCTTCAATGGTTAAACTTCTATCATCAAATTGACTATTGATGATAGTAGAAAGTGAATTCGGTTTTGCAACCCTTATTTTATGAAATCACAACAAAATTGTTTTGTGCATATTAAACAAGTACGAGTTTACTGGTCATGATCGTGAGATGTGGGTTAAGACAGTGATGGGATTTATAGAAACTGTATTAGATAGTCATTTGTTTTGTAAAAGAATAAGAGTGATTTTACACCTTAGGTATATAGATCATGTGGGCGAGTGTTTATTTCTTGTGGCTAGTTAGCTGGCAAAATGAGAAGGGAAGACCTCCGTAGACAAATAAGTGATTATATTAAATTATTTCAGTGTTAGTAGAGGTGACCTAAGAAAAGTTTGTATAATAGGGGAACAATATATGCAGTATCTGTAAAATTGTGTAGCCTATATTTTCTGTATTCTAAATTTGTTCTCTTTAATTGTTCAGGTACTCTGAGTCAGAAAGGTAAAGATAAGTAATTCCTGATGATATAATTGTAGTTGATGTATTTGCAAGTAATTCTTATAAAAATACGTACAGCATTCCTTACCTCACCCAAGCACACCTGTCTAGCTATGCTGCATTGTAGGAAGAGAATGTGAAAATCTACAGACTCTTAATGTAGTCAGATTTATGCAAAGCATATGAAATCTTCAATATTTGATATAAATTATATATAAAATATTGTGAAATAATTATTTAATACTATTTCAAATAAACTACCACATAATGACATGCATAAGGCTTGATATTAATAATTACAGTCATGCTACTCATATCTAAATTTTCTCCAAAGTCTCTTCATTTTATATGATAACATATAATTCCAGCTTTTAAAATGAGGGTTTAAAAATTCCGCTTATATTTTATATTACTTTATGATTTCTATTTGCTATGGAAAAATTGTCAAACTATCTTGTAAGTCATCAAAGGAATAAATACAAAATTACCGTCAACAGTTTTCAACTCTCGTTTTATTCACTGTAATAAATAGTGACTCAGAAGGCCTGCTTTGAGTAGAAATATGTTCCACATGTATTACATCATAAAAGTGGCACAGATTTGACAGAATAGTCTTCACACTTAGTAAATGCAATTCCAGATTATTTTGTATGCTACTGATGGTGACAGCAAAGGTATACCAAATGATTAATATTGTGAATGTTAGAATTACAAAATAATATTTAGTTAGTATTGAGGGAACATCAGACTCTTTCAGTAATGGGAAGCCTACTTTGAGATAGGATTTCTGCTAGAATGTTCTTTAATAATACTTTCACATACTCAAGAATTTCATTGAAAACAGCAAGAAGAATAGTATTACTCTTTGTAATGACACCAACAATTACAAATGTTATCTTGAATGCATCATCAAAGTGCTGATATTTTAATAAAGTATCAAATTTTAGTACCTTTAAGGATCTTACTTAAGATCATATTTGACATATTTGGAGATGGCATGTCATTATAGAAACTCAGTTGTCACTTCCCCAATTTTTATCTGAAATCGTGAAAGCCAAGTAAATCAATGAAATAGAGCCTTATTTATTTATTTATTTTTAAATAATGATGTCTTATTTTGGACAGTTTTTCAAAACCTGTCTACAATTAATGGATAACTTTTTTAATAAAAGGGAACTCAAATAACATTGCTGTTTACATGGTTATCAGATACAAGTCTGGGGAAAGACTGCTGTTTATGTACAAAGTCATCTTTGGTTTTCCTTAGGTCTTTGCTATGCTTCCTAGAACTCTTTTACTGAAGGTGATTCTGAACTATTAGATAAAATGTGCTACAAGATTTTATTTGTTACCACATCACTTAAGTAAAAAACATTTTGTACAGAAAAATTTCACACCAGTGTATCTAAGTCACGTAATAAGCCTTAATGGAATCTTTGTTTCCTACTAACTCAATGGCTCTACTTATGTGAAAGGAAATTGGGATCCCTGTATAAATTCCAGGAAATCTGAACACACTCACTCATTTGTCTTTTCACTCTGCCTCTGCTAATCCTTGATATTCTACCCTACCATGCAAGCAAGGCAAGTCTCATGATGTGCCTGGTGTAAACTTTAGCTCATGTCTGCATATGTGTTTACATTTTTAGGCACTATGTAATCTAGGACAATTTGTGTTTCTGTCAGTTTAATTGTCCTCATTTCTTTCTACCTTTTGCTGTATTTACCCTCACAATACTTTTTGAGCCACCTTTCACCTCCTCATTACACTCTTTTGATCTTACTTCCTTTGTAAGTGACTGCCATTACTCTACACTCTATCAGAATATAGAAGGATATACTGCATTTGTAGTTTCTCGAAGAAACAGAGCCTGACAGTTTGTCCCGCCCCTTTGCTGGATGCCTAGCCCTTTGCACATACTGTACTTCTGTTCTAGCCTTTATTATATTGCTGTTTGGTTTTCCATTTGTATTTTCATCTCCCTCCACCAGACTTTGAGTTCTGCAAGTAAAAACTTGGTCTTTGAATTGTTTAGCACAGCCTAAATAGAATTTCAGTAAATATTGATTGAAGTGAATGTTTAATGGACAAAACAAGAAAAATCTCAATAGGGAAGATAGCAGTAAATTGATTACAATCCAAGGAATAAAAATGCATTACTTTAGGAAAGCAGCTACCTTTAACTTACTTCCTTTCTAGAAGATAGCTACCACTTATATAATTTCCAATTCCATTAATACATTTTTTGGTGCCAATTTATGATCTCCAAGTTGTTAATAACATTTTTGAGAGAACAAGAAAAATGAAGTCATTGAGAAATATTCTTAATTTCATATATATTAATTTTTAAATATTAATGATAAATATAACATTCTATACTTGGCCGTCTAGAAAAAATGTGTGGTAAGAAAATTTGCCAGTTTTTATTTATTTAACTGTCTTCATTTTTCTCTCCATTTCTCACTTTTGGCCCTAGCACTACTTGTACAATAATAACATTTCCCAAATCCTCTCTTCCACAGTTTGAAGACAAACATCTGCAATCTCTTTTCAAGAAAAAAAAAAAAAAGAGTACAGTGTTTGCATTTCTGATTCAATGCTTCTGTTATTCATTCCTTTTATGATCTATATATAAATATAGGTAGATATAGATCATAAAAATCTATAATGTAAAGATAATCTTTAAGTAACAATAGAATATTACTAAAATTGTAGGCCTGAT